GGTTTACAGAGAAATCAGGCACTAGGGAAATGTCTGGAGATCTACAAAGATGACACCAGCTAACAATCTAAGCAACAGAGGAGAGGCTACCTTAAATGCCCTCCCCTGATAATGAGATTGATGACTGACTTATATGCCATCCTATAGCCTACATCCAGCAGCTGGTAGAAGTAGAAGCAGACACCCACAACTAATCACCAAACTGAACTGGAACCCAGATGCAGAGAAGGACTAGTGAAGAGCACAGGGGTCCACACCAGGCTGGTGAAACCCACATAAACAGCTGACCTGAACATCCAGAAACTCTTGCTCCCCAGACTGATAGCTGGAATACCAGCATGGGACTGATCCAACCCCAGGAACATGGGTTTCTGTGAGGAAACCTCAGAAATCTACAGGACCTCCTGTAGAAGTTCAGTACTTATCCCTAGCATGTGTGTGGACTTTGGGAGCCCATTCCATATAGAGGAATACTCCCTGAGCCAAGACACACAGGGATGGGCCTAGGCCCTGTCCCAAAGGATATGATAGACTCTGATGACACCCTATGGAAGACCTCACCATCCAGGGGGAGCAGAAAGGATATGTGATAGATAGGGTTTTAGTGGTGGGGGAGTGGTAGGGGAGGATGGTGGGAGAAGGGAACTGGGATTGTCATGTAAAAAAAAAAATCCTGTTTCTAATTCAAATTTAAAAAGTTGGAAAACAACAACAACAACAACAACAACACAGTAACAGAAAGGGCAATATGACACTACCAGAACCCAGAGATCCTACGACATGACATCAAGACCTGAACATTTCCATGTAGCTGAAGCACAAGAAAATGACCTTAAAAATAACTTTATGAAGATGATAGAGGCCCTTAAAGAGGAAATGAAAAGCTCCCTTAAAGAAATCGAGGAAAAGACAAAAAGCAGGAAGGATTATTTGGTTTCATTTCCTCATCCTGGCTTAATTCATGGAGTATGCTACATCTACTTGAGAAGCTGAGAGTAGCTGCCTCAATTCATAGACAGAAAGCTCAGTAGGAAATCACCCCAAAGACAAACAACACCACACTAAAGCTGAAGGGAAAACATTCCAAAGTTGAAGGACATGATCCTGAAACTGAAAGATGGGTATAGTGGTTTGAATAAAAATGGACCCCTGAGACATAGATTTCAACACTTAATCGCCAGGGAGTGGCACTATTAGGAGGTGTGGCCTTGTCACTGGAGGTGGGCTTTGAGGTTTCAGAAGCTCAAACTAGGCCCAGTGGCTCACTCTCACTTCCTGCTGTGGGCCCATCCAAATGCAAAACTCTCCAGCACCATGTCTGCCTGCATGCCACCATGTTTCCTACAATGACTAAACCTCTGAACCTGTAAGCAAGCCCCAATTAAATGTTTTCCTTTATAAGAGTTGCTGTGGTCATGGTGTCTTTTTATGCCAATAACTCTAATGAAGATAGTGGGTTCACCAAGGAGAAACAGGACTTGATGTCCTGTTTCCTCTTAAAGGTGGAAAGTAGCTGTTGAAGAAGCCACAGACCAGAACTGTTCATCCATGAACTGTCACATCTAAAAATAGCAAGAAAGGAGCCTGGAGACTGCATGTCGATGAGCGAGATCTAAAAAGGACAGGCTATTGCCCGAGAGCTGAGTTTCAGATGTTGAGCTTAAGACTGAACAACATTTTGAAAAGAGGGAAGCTAACGTCAGACTTTGACACCTGTTTGTGTTCATGGTCCTGAATACTGTTTTACCATGTTTTATAATACATTTCAAAAATATATACACCAAAATAGTAAAGATTACTACCATAAATTTATCATTAAAATGATATAACATTATAAGATATTTATAGCATATATGACTATGAAAATAGTTGTACATGACATCTTCATGTTTAAAACACTATGGAGAGTATAATCTGAAGCTTTCTTTAAAAAATGTATTTCACAGTTTATTTAGGTCCTTCTGCCAAATATAAATGTAATAAATCCCGATTCTTAAGGTCTTTGCTGGCTTACTGAGTCTTCCCATCGGCAGCTGTAACTTGCAACAGCAACTGAGAAGCTGCATTATTAGCACCAGTATCAACCACTGAGCCAACTCTTCAATAAGAAAATAAATATATGATTTGTAACCAAATATATTCAGAACATTGTACTTAACACCGACCTTTAGTGGCAAGGAACATTTAACAATTGAAGAAAACAGATAAACCTCCATCATTATTGAACAGGAATATAGTAGCACAGCACAACCCTTGTTTAAATAACCACAGAAGTGATGAGACCAAAAATGGGGGTTTCTGCCTCCATCCACTCAAACCACTACAGTTCAGGTGATGTTCTGTTCTAAACTTAGACATTATAAAACAGAAATTGGTCTGAAGCTTTTAAAATTGGAAATGTGATTTATCTTAAAGCTCTAACAGTACAACGCAGCTGATAAGAAGTCAAACATCTTCCCAGTGCACAGGAACATTCATCAACATCACTTCCTAACTCAGCATCTCTGGAACGTCTGAGGACATGTAAGGAACCATTAGCACTATCTTTGCAAATATTGTTCCTTTCTATTCGTTGTTCTGAGACTCCTGGATTTTAGGTGGTGTTGTCTAACCAATCTCTGCCCACATCTCTGTGCTCTGCTTTGTAATGCTTGTTTTAAAAGTCACTCAATAGACACTACAGACAATAAGCATCTAATAAAATACTTGTTGAAAAAACAAATATGTACCAGTGAGAATCATAGCCACAACCCTGTCCAGATGCTCACATGGGTTGAAAAGAATTGCAAACATAAGTATTGTGCTTCCCTTCCTATCCTCGTACATGGCTAGTCCATGATCAATATTTCCTCGAAATGCATAGCTGGCCTGTGGTTTAATATTATTGGACAGGATCCAGAATGTATGATCTCAGTGCAGTGAGACCTATTATTTTGTACAAATGATTTTACAGCAATAAAAATGTTCAACAAAACTACCAAATACCAAATAAAGTTTGCATGATGGACGTCCACTGACCTTGTAAGGATGTAAGGCGAAAACGAAGCTGGATTGTCCTGCTCGGAGAAGAGGGGCATTGTTCCTCCCATTATCCACAGGCGGAAATACAAAATGACAGTCACCTTGAAGGAATGAGAAGACCTGATGAAATGTCCACCTACATGTATGTCTTCCATCTCTGTACATGTGTTCTGATCCTCCATCAAGAAGTGGAGGAGCTGTCTCCTCCTCTTACAGCTGAGAGATAAGCCTGCCTGGATAACCCTGGCCCCAATCATGACATAGGAAACGGGAAATCATTCGGCTGAGCTTCCGAACTAAAGCCGCCTGGACACACAGCAGGTAGCTGTGTCTACACCTCCGGGTACCAGGACTGGGTGCTGTGTCCAGCAGTAGAGAACTGACACATCCAGGTCACTTTGAAAACACTTTGAAAGGGACTTTAAACCCTGTGTGGTTCACACTACGCCCTCAGATTCCTGTGTGTGGTTTCCCACACACGTTTGCGCAAGAGCAACATTTGCCACCTGCAAACCTTCCTGATGAGGTGATGTTGATAGTGAGCTTATTCAGTAATCTGGAACATGTCTCCGAGTTGAGACTAAGTGAAAACACCCTTACTAGCTATATTCAAAGTATACATTATATACTTACATAACTGACGACCAAAATGGCCCGTTTTAAAAACGGTCTCAGGGTAAGCAGGAAATTGCCGTTGCTGCTTCCTGTCAGACACCTGAAACAGGGGAAGAAAGATTAAATATAAGAACAACCATCTACAGCACAATGTTCCTCGCTGTAAAGACGCTGAGCTCTGAGAAGACACCAGGAGCCTGGCTTTGGAGCCCGAGAATGTGGGCTTCAACACTCCATTTCTGCCACTTGTGACTTGGGAAGTGGGAACAGGTTTCTTCATTTCTCTGCACATCTGCTTTGCTCATTTAAAAGGCAATAATATCTACTTTGTGGGAACAGTGTAAGGAATGAAGGAGATAATAAATGAAACAGGACCTAGCACTGTTAACCATAAATGTTACCATTTGCCCCTGATTGACCTGTAACACTGGTAACATGAATTTACATTTACCCACTTTATATAATTTGAGGGGCACAATGCCTTCGATCCACAGAAGATCTCACAATTGCCTTGTCCTTGAAGAACAAGGATGCCAAGATTATGTGAAGTAAAATACACTGTGCTTCTGGGGTGGATCGAAGACTTCCCATACACCCTGAAGAATTTTGTCCCTTGCTTACTGTCCTCTGCCCTAGGAAACAAATCAGAGTGCAAGAATGTCAGCTTGGGGGGGGGCAGGTGTCAGAGATTAATGGGGACCCTGCATCCACCATCGTTGCCACTGGTTCAAAGTAGGAGGAGTTGCAGCTTTGTGAATGGGACTGGCTGGCTTCTGTGACCTAGAAGCAAGAGCTGAGGTTGACAGGCCCCCTGTGCAAACATAGAGGGTCCATATTATCCTCCATGAAGGCTTGCACACTTCAGTCAAAGCGGAGAAAAGAAGTTGAACTGAAATCACATAATCCCTGGGCATTCCCCTCCTCCTTATTTTCCCTAACCCTTTTCATTTAGCTCTTTCACTCCCTTTCATCTGTTTCTTCCCTCAAAGAATTTCTCTCTTAAGATCTGCCACTGAATGAGGGCTTTTCACTGGAGAGAAACTTTGGTCCAGACAGTGCCTCTTCAGTAAACTTGAGTGGGCTAGTGTCCGGCAGAGATAGGTCCACCTTGAGTCTGCCCACTGGAGGTGTGAGGCCCCTGTAGTGTAGGAAGTGCTTTGGAACTGCAGAGAAGCGACAGCTTTACTCAAAAGCAGGTCTCGTCCTCTTTCTGGCTCATAAGAATCTCTGGAAGTGGTCCATGCTCAGAACTGGCTAATTAGAGAAAATAAAGCTTGCTGCTAACAAGTTCTGGGTAGGTCCATCTTCCAGAGCTTCTCTGTGTCCTTTCTTCCCTTCTGAAACCACAGCAGAGTGTTTGGCATGAGGCCAGGCCAGGGTCACTGCAGCTGCCATAGCAGGGTGCACAGTGGCTGTCCCTGAATGGGCTTTAGAGAGTCTGGAGGGGTACAGGTGTGTGTGTGTGTGTGTGTGTGTGTGTGTGTGTGTGTGTGTGTGGGGTGTGCGCGCGTGTGCGTTCGTGTTTTTTTTTTGT